TGAGGGACAGCGCCCAGGCCCAGAGTTCAGGCCCCATGACCAGACCCAATATATATATATATATATATATATATATATATATATATAGGTATATATAAAATAAAAAATTTTAAAATAAAGATTAAAAAATCAGTCTCACATGAGTTTGAGACCAAATTTGAGAACTGCTGTTCTAATGCACAGCTGTTACTCTCATCAATTCCATGGCAGGTTCTTTTGCTTTTCAATGGATTCTGGATAGAATCAATTGCTGATTTTTGGTTGGTTGTAGGGCTTGAACTCTGGGCCTGGGCACTGTCCCTAAGCTCTTCAGCTCAAGGCTAGTTCTCTACCACTTGAGCCACAGCACCACTTCCGGTTTTCTGGTGGTTAATTGGAGGTCTCATTTTCTGCTTGGGCTAGCTTTGAACCACAATCCTCAGATCCTAGCCTCTCAAGTAGCTAGGATTACAGGCATGAGCCACTGGCGCCTAGCCCTTGTGCAATTCTAAGTTCTGTTCTCCTCTTCACCACCCTGCATTTTCTCCTGTCTTTTCACTTATGGTGTCTTGGTCCTATGGAAATCTAGAGTGTGATACAGTCCCATTTCCCATCAGTGTTGTGCTTTCATGTCTTATTTTAAAGAAATTCTCATTTGCAAAAATATGGAGACAATTGTACAGGTATTTCTCATGTTAAGGTCTTGCTTCTTTTGCGTAGCTCCTTACGCATGCTAGTTCATTTGGAAGAGTGTAGCTCTTTCACCCTCACTTCACACATCCTGTAGTCCACAGCCTGCTTCTGAGTTCTGTATTCTTAAGGATCTAGCAATCTCCCTGGCTATGCTGACACCAGTCACACATTGCTCCATTGTCAGGTCAGGAGGTTAGGTCCAGGGACCTAGGCAACCTATGTTAGATAGAGAATGGATTCTTTCCAGTGCCTCGGCTCTGCTGAAGCCTGGACATTAGCTCACTGAGACCCACTTTAGGATGTCTGGTCTCCTTTATTACAAGGTAAATTCATGCTGTTTGAAGTCATGAAGTAATTTGCTAAAATACGAAACTATCCCCCCTTCTACTGGTGGTGAGGTCCAGCTCAGCAAAGTTAAGGAAGCAGCAGAGAGGGATTCAATCCCAGGTTCCACTTGCAAAGCACACGTTTTGTTTTCCCAAAGTGCACAGTCACCAGTTCAATGTAGAACAATTTGCTGGATTACAGGAAAACACAGCCTAACAGCAAGTGTTAAATATTCTTAGTTCAGAAATGTAACTATTCCTGAGGATACCAGAGTCAGTGTCATTTTTGAAACCAAGGTGTGTCTATGTCACAAGTAGAAGCAGGAGCACAGTTTTACACTGGTTTCTGTCACACTCTGCTCCATCTGTCTGTCCCTTTTGATTGCTCTTGGAGGAGCTGACTGGGGTATAGAGACTCAAGATGGCCCCAACTGCCTCTTCATGAGGCTGTGTTAAGAAATCTCAGACTCAATATTGCCAGTATGGCTCTCTAGCACAAAGGAAAAAAAGCAGGGGAGTGCTACTTGGGTAAGGGTAGGAACAGTACATGGAAGGATCTTTCCTCTGATGCAGGTCTAATCTCCTAAAGGTACCGAACACTGGAAGGCAAAGAAACATCATCTCCAGCTGCACAATTTCTCTTGGATGACTTGAAGGCAGAATGCGTATATTCCCAGTGCAAGGATCTGTAGATAGATCTGACTACAGATAAGATTTCTTCATAAAATGTCTTGCAGTGATCTGCCATCTGCAATTCAAGTGAAGAGAGGCTGACACATGCAGTATTTGTTGCGTTTTAAAAAATAACATTAAGTAACAGAGAAAGTACAACCTCTGCTGCAGTCCCAAATCCCCAGCCATCCACCCAGAATGGACACTTCCAACACCTCCGGCAGGGAAGTACCTCAGGAAATGAGATGACTCCCTTTAGCAGACTGCAAAAGCAAGGCAGACCATGCTCTAAAAAGGTGCTTCCAAAATTGGAACTGTATCAAATGCCTAAAAGGTTTCTTTGCAGCCTGTCAAATGCTGGACAGAACATTCAGCCAGCCTGTCCTCTAATCAAAGGCCACCACTCTTTGTCATAAAGAGTGAATCTCAATGTCACCAGCAGATAATTAAGGACAAACTTACCTGTAGCACAGGTAAGCACTTTTTTCAAGTTAAAACTAATTCAGTTTCTATAAGATGTGTTACAGACAGCTAGGTAGCAGTGGTTGACATCTGAAATCCTACCTACTCAAGAGGCTGAGATCTAAGGATTGCAGTTTGAAGCCTGCCCAGGCTAGAAAGTCTGTGAGACTCTTTTATCTTCAACTTCCCACCGAAAAGCCAGAAGCAGAGCTGTGGCTCAAGTGGCAGAGCCCTACCCTTGAGCAAAAAAGCTTACAGACAGTGCTCTGAGTTTAAGCCCCAGAATTGGCTGCCGCGCGTGCATGTGAGAGCGCGTGCACACGCACGCACGCACGCGCACACACACACACACACACACACACACACACACACACACACACAATGTTGTTATACCAGTGGCTCATGCCTGTAATCCTAACTGCTGAAGAGACTGAGATCTAAAGATGGCAGTTCAAAGCCAGTTGGGACAAGAAAGGCCATAAAAATCTTTTACCAAAAAACAAACAGTGGAACTGTGGCACAAGTGGCAGAACACCAGTCTGTAGTGAAAAAAGCTAAGGACAGCACTTAGGCCCCTCATTCAAGCCCCAGTATGGCATGCATGCACGCGTGCGTGTATGTGTACAGGCTTGCACATGCACGCGCACACACACCCACACGCACACACACACATACACACACAAGTATGGCCTCACATGGCATAAGCTACTATCCCCTCCAATGCTGCAATAACATATGCACTTTTCTGAGGCTGATCCTCCAAATGGAAGATCAACGTTTAAGACAGATAATCAATCCCTGTGGTGGGCACTTCTCTTTTAAGGAGGTTTTTGTTTTTTTTTTTTCTCTTTTAAGGAGTTTACCCAGGGGTGAAAACAAATGCAGCCATAAACTGCTAGCAAATCTATCAGAATGTGGTGATGAAAAACTGGAAAAAAAAAACAAAACATTAAGAGCAGTTTGATGGAAAATCCTATCATGCAGAGTTTAAAATGCTACTGATATAGTTGCCATTGAATAGGTATATTAAATGGGAAACCAAGTTTTAAAACAAGATCCAGAAACAAGATCAATTTTACAAAACCTCCCTGCTTAGAAAAGTCTGGGGGAAAAAAACCATTAAGATTTTTATACACTTGGGATTCTTTATATTATTCTGAATATTTTACAAAAGATCAATTATTATATAATCCCACCATTGAAACATAATTTCCAAGTTACTAAAATAAAGCCAGTTTCTGAAAAAATGGCTACTGTTTTCTGAAAATGATTAAACTCCCCAAATAGAAATGTGACAAATTGTCCCTAAGTCTTGCCAGACACGAGAAAAATCACCTTTAAGATACTTGACATGTTCTTTTAAGTTGACCAAACTCATAGTTAGAACAAATACATCACTGTGAAACTAACAGTGTAATCACTAAATGGAAATGTCCTTTACAAAAAGAAAGTTGGATAGGGACAGGAGGGAAAATCTGGCAGAGAGTAAGGGAAGAAGGGGTATCATTACTTGAGTTATATAACCGTAACCCCTCTGTATATCACCTTTGTAATAACAATAAAAAAATAAAATAATGTAATAAAGAAATAGGCCTTCACCAGACATGGAATCAGCCAAGGTCTTGATCTTGGACTTCCAGCTATTAGAAAAGTGAGAAATAAAAAGCCAAATATTTAAATTTTTAAAAAGTGTGACTGTTACAGTTTGAATCTGAAATAATCCCTACAAGCTACATGTGTTAAGGTCTGATGACAAGCCTGTGGTGCTACCTGGAGATGGTGGAAACTTTAGGTGGGGTCTCACGGGAGAAAGCTAGGTCACTGTTCCCACCTCCTTTCTTTTACCTCCCAACCATAATCAGGTGAGTAGCCTTGCTCTACACACTCCCACCATGATGTTCTGCCTTGCCAAAGCCCACCCAAAATAGAGCCAAGCAACTGTGGACAGAAAATCCACTAACCACAAACCAAAACAAACATCTCCTTTTATCTTAAGACATATCAGTGATGAAAAGCTAGCACAGCTGTCAATAATTCAGAGGGACTAAGTGTCACAGAGATGCAGGAGAGCCACGAAGAGGGCATTGATTTGGGGCTTCTTTAGTACTAGAGGTAGACAATCTAGTAGTCACAGCTACTGTTGTCATTTGGGTACCATTTCAACCAGCATAGGCACCCTTCTAGAAGGTTTTGACCTTAAAGGACTAGCCAGATTGGTGCACTTGCCTAGACAGGGAGAGCTCAGTACACTTCACAAAGATCAATCCACTATTGGAGAGGACAGTTGGGAAGTCTGCTTTATAATATACTGAGGCAACCATTACAAGCTGGCCTCAGCAGCGTATGAATTCTCATTAAATCGGAAAAATACTAAGATAACTATACCACTTTGTCTCACAACTACATTTCCATGACATTCTCATCTTCAGAAATGGTTAGAAATTTCCTCTAAAACCAAATGGCTTATAGTGCAATGGATAATTTGAGCTTTTTCTAATTTTATAAAGTATCTAGGATCAAAATGGACATCAACACTGAGGCCCCCTGACTAGTTTTAATGGCAAAGTAATTAACTGTACAAAAGCACTCAGCTTTCTAAGATAACTAAGAATCACTGAAGTTCAAGTTAGCTTCCAGCATAGCTGGAAAAAATATTTTTTAATATATATGATAGTACTTTTTTAAAATATACTACAGAATCAATTTATTCACTGATTTCCCTCCAAACTACTTCATTGTTTGGATTATTTCAGAAAACAAAGTTAGAGCAAGCAAGATCTGAATTTCTGAGAAATTATGAAATAAATATAAAAGGCATTAAATAAAAATACTTAGTGCGAAATTCATAAAATAAAGCAGAAAAGGGTATATGTGTTAAAATAATTTAATTCTCCCTGTACATTTCGGTCTATGAGAAGACACACATTTTACAATATTTACCTGTTTAGAGACACTCAAGTCAATTCAGATGGCAAAAGTAGAATTCAATCACTAGTGAAATGTTTAAAAAATATATATTAAACCAAACAATGTTTTTACAAGATAAAAAATAATCTTCCACAATGCGATATATTGAAATTTTAACTCTTTAGGTGATTTCAGTTGTTTTTGGTTTCAAAATTAGAGACAATTAAAAAAAAGTGCTGACAGAATTTCTATCTGATTTTACGTTTTTCTTTCTTGCTTCGACTACTTGTTACGCTGTTTAAAGATGATGATGATGATGATGTAGGTGCTCTTGCATGACCAGTAGCCTTTAGATGATCAAAGAGTTTATTCCGAGATGGAAATTCACTATGGCAGGCTGTACAGCTGATAAGAACATCACTCTGAAAGGGAAAAAATATCAAATAAAGTAAGTGATACAATCTGAGAACAGTGTCTTACATTTTAATGTCAAAATTATAAACCTCAAAAAAATGAAATGCAAAATAGCTACCAAGACAAGAGTGTATGTTCTTACAAGTTAAAACTCCCATCAACCAACCTATCAGTTCTAAAGATCCTAAGACTTTCAATGGCATGTACCATATAGACTGCTGCACAATTGATCTTCAGAAGATGATACAAGTATAATTCTTACCACTAAGGCTTTAAGAGTGTGCAGGGAAAACAGAATAGCAACCATTTTACTACCCAGTATTTCCAATGTGCTTTGTTTTTTGAACTCTTGGCCTGGTCCGTGACCTGAGCTACTTTTGTTCAAAGTTAACACTCTCTCACTGGAGCCATAGCACCACTTTTTTTTTCTTTTTTCTGTAATTTAACTAGAGTTAAGAGTCTCACAGACTTTCCTGCCTGGGCTGGCACTGAATCGCCACGCTCAGGTCTCAGACTCCTAAGGAGCAAGGATTAACAGGTATAAGCCACTAGCACTCAGCGCAAATGTGTTTTTTTTTTACTTAAAAAAAAAAAAAGTAACAGTAGCACATTTATCATGATGCTGGGCTTTCTCTGGGAAGGCCTCAGGCAGTGCACATTTACATCTTTAGGACATTGTTACTGCTTAAGGAAGGTATACAAAAGAAAAGTCATTATGATTTTGACCTACCACTGTTTGTGGTTCAGAAGGTACTTTGATAGATTTTTTCATATCTTTGGTTTTCTTTCCTTTGAGTTTAGGAACACTGGAAAATATAATGTAAAAATGATATACTCTTTTTTAATTGTCTTCTTTAAAAAACACCAAAAAGAGTTATTTTAAAGCTATTTCATTAGTTTTGATGACTAAGTTAATTAAGCTTCACATTTCAAATGAACAACTTTAAAAAGCAACTTCAGATACCAAATTAAAAAACAAATGGCATAAAATTTAGAAAATTTTCTTAAAACAGCTGAAATAAAATCTAAAACAACACCCACAAAAAGTATATCTAAACAAATATCAAGTATCAAATACTTGATACTCCTTTTATTAAGCCATACCATCTCCACATCCAATACTAAATTATAATCTACGACCATAAGTATGGTTGACTCAAAATATTCTTGAATTTGCTCTAATCTTTGGCAAATATGTCAACAGTTCAAGGAAAAGAAGTCCCAAAGCATTTTTCATAAAATTAAGTTTGTTCAATTTTACTATTTTATTGTTTATTTGACTGTTAAGCATGGAGATTTATTTACATAATCCCAGTACTCCAGGAGTTTGAGGCAAAACAATTACAAGTTCAAGGTCAGCCTGGAATATAGTGTGACCCTGTCTAAAAAATAAAGAACAAATATAAAAATAATATTCTTTCAGATATTTTAAATCAGAAACCACTGCCAGCAGAGTCAGGTTCCTCTTGTTCTACCTGTATCCTCAGCATAATTTTTTTTGTTTTGTTTATGAGCCAGGGTCTCACAATGTAGTACAGTCTGGCTTTGAATTCCTGTCTCAGGCCCTGAATACTGGGATTATAGGCATGTATCCTACACTTGGCCAATCCATACACTTTTTTAATAAAGCACTACTCAAAAAACCACAATGTACACACCACTACAGAATAAGAGCCCAGCAGAAGAGCTGTTCACTGGGGTTCTGAAGAGGATTAGGTGGTGATGGGTGATGTGTCTATTTCTGGCCAACCATCCCTCAGCAGTAAAGAAGTTAGTAAAATAAAAAAGATGAATTATAAGCAATGGTTGTCCAAGTCTGAGGATCTTCCATTCTCTTCTAAGTAAATTCTCATGGAGAAGTCACATGAAAAACAAATAAAAATACTTGAGGAGCACTACATGTGGGGAGGGTACAATCCTCTAACCCACCCATACCTATTAGCTTACTCTCATGATCAGAAAGTTATCCAATGACCTTTACAGCACACTGAGCCCAGAGGTAGCATTCTGGGTGTCTTCAAGTAGTCAGGCAGACAGGGACTTCGCCAGCTTTTCTACACACTAGCCACTGACCTTGGACAGACAAGTCATTTATCCTGAGAATGCTTTCCCATTTGTAATAATTAGTAAAATAAATGCTACTTTTCCCTTCCACGTTTCACTCTCCAAAGAACTTCAAAGGTTTTGAACAGAGTACTTGTCTTCTTCTTCCCACAGCTAGAGCCCACTGTAAGCTTCAGTTCTGCAACTACTATATAAATTGCTTTTATCTCTCTGTCTATCCCATCACCCCACCACAGCAGCTTTAGTGCCAAGGTTTCCAATTCACACTTCTACTTTATTGTCACTCTTTTTTTTGTGGCCCTATGATAACAAGAACTTAAAACTACTTACTGTTTGGATCTTTCCTCAAGGACTAAGAAATGACTCTCCATTCTAAAGGAACAGAGGGGATGGGAACAAGGAAGTGGAGGGATGAAACATGCTCCAAAGGAAAATCTCCCCAATGTCACCACTAGCACTAAGATACCAGGGCTCCTCTGAGCAAGAAAATCGTAAGTTGCTGAAGGCCCTGACAACACAGCAGAAGCATGAAGATTTGGGCAGTGACGCTCATGGGCATGATGGGGTTGGGAGACAAATACAGCAGCCTCATTCTCAGGTGAGTATCATGGACAAAGAACAGGATAAGGACAACTAGAACTGGATCACAATGACGACAGTCATGCTGCCAAACTGAGCACACTCATCTAGAATGCTCTTTCCGACACAGCTATATATTTGCAAATCTATGTATGTCTGTACATACAGTTTACACTTAAACTTGGCCTGTCATGGGAAGGAGATTCGATTTGACATATGAAAAGCTATACTTACTATCACTATTCACAAATTAGAAAATATCCAACTTTGACTTGCCTTTTAGCTTCACTTTTTAAATCAACACAGGGTTCAATGGTCTCTGTTACACTGACATTTTCTTGGGGACTACCTTCTACTTCTTTGGCACTGTCTCCATTTAAATTAGTATCTTCTGGGTCAATCTTTATTGCTTCTTCTGTTCCATTTTCATTGTAATTATCATCATAATTCTAGATAATAAAACATGTCATTACAAATCAAATTTATTTAGTAGTAACATCTTATGGTGCCAAATAACTAAAACCAATAATGTCTCACACATTCTAGTAGAAATCAAAATAAAAAGGAGAAGCATGTTAAGAACATGTTTATTAGAGATATTCAAGAGAAACCAGAAATAATCCAAATGATTAATAAGTAAATGGTTTGATATAGGAAGGAAATTTATGAAGTTCTTAAAACTAGTATTTCTAAAGATACTGATTACTTTAAAAAATACAATACAGTAGCCGTCCAATTACAATTTAATTCAACATAAAGTAATCTCCACTGGTAGAACTTTTCTATTTCCAAAATAAGTAATGAGTGCCTATTACTTTTATAGTCAGAAAAAACCTACAACGAATAGGCAGTAAAAATATATATATATGTCTGGTGGACCCATTGCAACAATGAGATGTACACGTCATTATGTCGAAAATCGAACTTAACAACTTTGGTGGGGGGTGAGGGGAGGATCGGGTGGGAGAAGGAGAGGAGTATGGGAAGGGTAGGAAGGGGAAACAACCAGGAGGCAACAATGCTTAATAAGAAATGTACTTGTAACTCCTCTGTACAGTATTCTTATAACAAAAATTAAAAAATAAAAAAAAGATGTCTGACAAACATTTTCACTAAGTGCAACCATCTGTCTCTGTTCTGAGAAATAATTTGCCATGTTTTCAGACATGCACTCTCGCATGCACACACCCACTGAACACACATCTTTTCCTAGAACTACCTGGAAGACAAGTCTTTGCCATGTATCTCCTAAGAAAGCCATGAGATCCACAGTCCTTACCATACTCCAGAATTTAACACAAGGTCCCACTTCCAAATGCCTCAGTGATTGCTTACTTATAACTTCCAATGGATATAATCAGAGACTACACGCTGAATTTAGTTGTTTTATCTTTCTAATCTCTTTTAACCTAAAACACTTATTTTCATCTAGTTTTTAATGTTGTTGATTTAATGATTATTTTATAGACTGTCCCATAATTTGGCTTTGTATGGTTTTTGACAAATGATTAGATTCAGATTAAAGATTAGTGGCAATAATACTCTAACGACCCTCAGTATAAAACTCAATGTGCTTAGTATAATACATCATGAGGCAAAATGACTCAGGTTTTTTCAGTGACCTTATTTGATTAGGTAGATTCTCCTACTATCAAATACTGTTACCTTCTTAAATTAATAACTAATGTGCAGAGTGTGACTAACACTGTAAGACTACACTGTCTTCAACAGCCATTCACCCAATGGGTTTGGAATTTATTTATGATTCTTGCTCACACCATCTACTATAGTGGTGATTGCAGAACAGTGGTTTGTTTGTTTTTTAACCACCAATATCTGTGCCACTTGCATTAGTACTAACTCATACTGTCCTGTAATAAAACGTTTATGACCTCCTTTCTCCAACTACACGTAAAGATTTAACACAATTACTAGTTTCATTAATCAAATTTTCCCAACCTGGTAAGGTCACAAAACCAGATCCTAAAACTCCCATGTTTTTGAACGCTTAGTTTTTTGTGCTGAGTTCCCCCTCTGCTTTCCCTCTCTTGGCTCTATAATCATTTGTTTCTCTCAGAAGTAAACCCTGCTTCCTTTGTGAAGGAGAAAGCAGCCAAACCAAGGTACAGATGCTAAGTTTGCTTACTGCCAGAGGCGTGTTCTTCTAAAGGCTAATGTTTTAGATCATGAACTCCTACCAACAGCTTGAAATTCCAACTGGAAACAATTCGCTTTTTCTGTTCCCCTCAATCTAGGTTTATTTTTTCCTTCTCCTACAGACATCCTAATTCCGAAAAGCATAAGTTCATTTGCTCTGACAAAGTTTCAGAAATAACACATCAATACTTACAGCTTACTAAATAAAGTTCAAGATTCACTTCCTTTACAGTTAATTTTATCTTTCAAGTATAACACATGGAAGGAGTCAATCAGTGCACTATGTTAAAAAATTACTTGAATTAATTCTTCCTTTTTGCCATGGTCACTTAAGTCTTTTAGATTTTTTTTAAAACCTTTCATTGGCTTATGTGACTCATCTTCATTTTTCTATTTTCATACACATACAGTTATTTGGTATTTATTTCTCACATATCTATGTGTAATGTATATATACAAATATTATATATACATGTGTGTATACACATTATAGACACAAACTCTATATTACTATAAAATTCAACTCATCACCTTTTTTTCCCTCTCAAACCTACTTATTTTCTCATAAACACAGTTCTCCTTTTATTATAAAACTTTTTTTGGGGGGGGGGAGGGTCCCGGTCCTGGGGCCTGATCTCTGGGCTAATGCTTTACCACTTGAGCCACAGCACCACTTCCCACTTTTTTTTTTTTGCTTATGTGGTGCTGAGGAATCGAACCCAGGGCCTCATGCATGCAAGGAAAGCGCTCTACAACTGAGCCACCTTCCCAGCCCCGATGTAACTTTTTTTTATCACACTGAAAATTTTCCAAGTCTGAAGTGTGAAAATGGTCAGTATTTACTTTTTGTTCTATCAGGACACATCTTCACCCTCCTCCAAAGAGAAAGAAAGAAAGAGGAGGGAGGGAAGGAAGGAAGAAGGGAGCGAGGGAGGAAGGGAGGGAGGGAGGGAGGGAGGGAAGAGATCCTGGAAAATAGCAAGAGTGCTACAGAAAACAGGTTTGAATCTGATGTAATCAGAAATCACAAACGAGGTTGTCATAAAGGAATATAGCTTTGGAAAGGAAACAGGGTAGTCATTTGAGGTATTTCATCATTGAGAAAATACTAAAATATGGGCTTATTACTGCCATTCGTAGAAGCTCATCCTCTGCAATTTGAGGTAAGATAGGCTTGGAAGGCAGCTATGCTCACCACTATACCAACGCACCCAGGTAAGATAGGCTTGGAAAAAATAAGTCTCACTTCATTTCTCTGTATCCTTATTTTAGTGACACTGACACAAATGAAAGCGAAAATGTTTTAAATTAATGATTACAGGTCTTTGGACGATGGAGCAAAATTACAAAAGAAAAACTGTAATTTCCTACATAGGTTTACAGCTAAGGCAAAAAGTTCCAAGTTATCATCTTAAAAATAATTAACTAGAATCATATGTAATTTTTGGAATAGGAAACTGATTAAAAACCACCAAATATATATAACCACAATTTGGATAAAAAGCCAAATCTAAAATTTTATGAAAAACTATTAACATATTTTCTTTAAAATGTCAGTATTTATAATAAATATAGCTATGTTTTAGTAAAATACCACAAAAATCAATTCCATTCTCTTTTCTCTCTCAATCTCCTGTACTGAGGTATGAACGTGGGTAAGTATGATAGCCCTGGAGTTATGTCTCCACTGCTCTTGTTTGTAGCTTGTTTTACAGATAAGGTCTCATGCTAACTCTGACAAGGCTAGCCTCAAATTATAATTCTCCTACTTCTACCTCACAAACAGTTGGGATAACAGGGAGACAGACCACCTTGCCTGGCTCCATTCTCTGTAGAACCAGCACGTGTCCTTACTAAAAAAGAGTGTTTTCACAGCTTCACAGACATCCACAAGATTCCCATGTGTAAAAACACTTATACAGCATGGTATATAATATATTCTTACAAATCGATTTTGAATGCCAATTATGAAACATTTACCTACTTAAAACTTTCGAGTATGACTATTTGTATTTTGCTAGTCCTGGGGCTTGAACAGAAGGCCTGGGCACTATCCTTGAGTTTCTTTTGCACAAGGCTGGCACTCTACCTCTTGAGCCACAGCACCACTTCCAGCTTGTTTATGTGATACTAAGGAATTGAACCCAGGGCTTCAGGCATGCTACCACTAAGCCACATTCCTAGCCTGAGGACATTTCCTAATAACCAAATTACTACAAAATTTTTGACCAAATATTCCTTTTGCAATATTCACTTGATGATGTTGACAAAGTCACATACATTATCTATTTACAAAATGACAAATCTCAATTTTTCTATTTCTAAACTATAATTATTATCTTGACTTAAAAAGGCCTATCTTGCCGGGTGCAGGTGATTCACACCTGCAACCTAGCTACTCAGGAGGCTGAGATCTGAGGACCGTGGTTCAAAGCCTGGGCAGGAAAGTCCATGAGACTCTTATCTCCAATAAATCAAGAGAAAACCAGAAGTGGTCCTGTGGCTCAAGTAGTACAGCACTCATTTTGAGCTGAAGACCTCAGGGACAGCGCCCAGGCCCAGAGTTCAAGACCCACGACTGACCAAAAAAAGAAAAGCCTATCTTCAGAAGATGTACCCACACTTCAGTACAGACCCAGCTAATCCATTTACCTTCAAACAGTAATTGAGTCACATACCTACCAAGATAAGAAGGAGCACTAGAATTTCTTTTCAATCAGTTTTACAAACAATATAAAATTATGGAGTAGATCTCCTAAATACAGACTATAATGAATGAACAAAAACACTGGAAAAAATGTTTTCAACATACCTGTGTTGGTTTATGTTTCTTTTTCTTCTGTTTTTTAGAAAGCCTAAGAGCAAATATAAATCAAAATATCAAATATCTTGTGATGACTAAGTAAAAAGAAAATTAAAATTAAAATATTATGGTCATAGAGGTATTAAGATGTTTAATAAGAAGCAGGTCATAGAGGTATTAGGATGGGTTCACAAAGTACTCATGGTTAAATGGTTAGTAAAATTAGCCTATCAGTTGTCTAGATATGAAACTACTTTATATGTAGCCAAAATATATTCTGTAAAATTATATTTGACATTGTCTTTACACATTCTAACTCTATAAAGTGCCATTAACTAGAAGAGATGCAGAAAACACTAAAAACTTCCTTGAGGTAAAATAGCACTTGACTGCAATCTCTAGTGTATTAAAAAGTAGTATTTAGAATTACTTCTGTTTTGGTGCATTATCCGTTTCTTCCTCAGAACTGGCATTCAAAAGATCTTCATCCGTTTGAGGTTTTGAAAATTGTTCCTCCTCTTCCTCCAACTGCTGCTTTAACAAGGCCACCATTTCCCGATGCTTCTTTGACTTTTCATGGTTCTTCATGCTGAAAGGACATCCAGGTGAGTGGGTGTACTAGGGCTCATTTCTATGAAGCCAGGGGTATAGCGAGGATGGAGAAACTGCCAAATGTTTGTGATTTTGTTGAGCAGCACATGCAAGCCCAGACTGCCCCAGTATTGAGGGCCATGGGGTCCATAGGGAGATTTTTCTTCCCAGATCCCAGCACTCCCCTCACTGATTTCCTTTTCATATATATATACACACACATATATGTATGTGTGTGTATATATATATACTTATTTCAACCACATAGCCCTATCTCTATTTGCTTTAGTTATATTTCATACAGAATCTCATGCTTTTGCCCTTCGAGATGCCTTGGACTTCCTACATCTGCCTTCTGCAAGCTGTGATTATAGGCATACCACACCACACTTAGCTTTTTCTCATAATTTTTGTCTAGGTTGGCCTCAAACTGCAATCCTCTTATCTCTACCTCCCACATAGCTGGGATAACAGGTATTAGCCACCACATGACGCCTGTCTTTTCACTCTTTTCAACAGTTTCATCTTCTCAGAAAGAGCTGTCCTCCTCAGTCCTACCACTCTAAATGTGAATTCACACACATCTCTGAAAAGGTCCACAACTCTTAAGGTAATATCTACTTTTTAAAATTTATCTGTAGGAAACTAAAAACAAAACCTTTCATGATATATAGCTGAAAACATGAGTTAAAACTAGAAAGTAGGAATTTGGGCTTGGACTATGGCTCAGTGTTAAATGATTGCCTCACCATGCATGAGACTTTGGGTTTGACCCATAGTACCACACACTCCCAAAGGAGTACTGACATATTTTCAGATTTTGGGGTGTGATATTTACAAATAAAATCTAATTTAAGCTGACTACAGTGGCTTATACCTATAATCCTAGCTACTGGGGATGTGGAGGACAGGATGATCACAATTGAGAGCCCATCCAGGTAATTTTTGAGACTCCATTTCAACCAACAACAACAACAAAAATCTAGTCTTGAGATGGTGTATGACTGTAATGCCAGCTACATAAGAAGCCTAAATAGAAGAACCCTAGTCCAGACTGGTCTAGCCATAAATTTAAGACCCTATCCCAACAAAATTAAAGCAAAACAGGGTGGCAGGTGCTTGAGTGTTTGACTAGCATGTAAAAGGTTGAGTTCAAAACTCAAAATTACCCTCTAATAACCAAAAGAAACAATGCTTATCATTGCTTTTGGTTCTTATCACTTCTCCCACTATCTTGACATTTCTCCCTTGGGGTCATCTGGTAACTAGTTCTCCCTCCCACATCCTCTTCTCATCCTTTGCTCTCCTCTCTTCCTGACTGTAGTGATTTTCTTCCTTTCCACAGCAGTTCAACTCTCGATTCTTCTCCTATGTTCCTTCCCATCCTTTCCAGTTTAAGTCTTTCTCTCTTATCATTGCTCCCTCACGATGAAGTGTTTCCACTTCAGTAACTCTAGGCATGATGTTTAAATCCCCTAGGTTGGCAGCAATAACCTTCAGTGGACAGCAATGATGCAAAGTGAGTCTGATGCCCGCAGTAGAGAGAGGTGCTCAGACTTGCCTTCACCTCCTCACTTGAGCAACTTATTCCTTCTTTGAGAAAACAAGCAGAATCTCTTTCTGAAACTGTGTGGGTATTTAAAAAGCAGCATTACAGTGGACTACTGGGATAAATGAAACAACAGGCTTAATTGGTGGCACAAATCCTTCCTTCCTGCTAAACAAACAAACAAAAAAAATCCCCTCATGAGACACATGGGCACTATTGAGCATCTTCTAAGCATATTTCTTTGAAGACTTTCAAAATGGTTCACCTGCCTCAAAACAAATGGGAGGCCAAGTAAACTTACGCCTTTTCTGTCTTAAAAGACTTGTCACATGCTGGGCAGTAGAGATCATCATAAAACTCAGCCTCCTCAGCCTCATCGCTGTCTTTTCCTGTGAAAGAAAATCCATGGTAAGAATCCTATTTGATCAGAACATAAATCTAAATAAACAAATTATACCTTCTTAGCAAAGGTTCAAGTCAAATTAGGAACTCTAAGTTTTATATTTCATTACCAAAAAAGTACCATCAGGATTTGAGTTGGCCTTTTAAAAGCCATTATCATATTATATAAGGAAGATCCAAATAAATCACCTCTTCCTTCAAATTCTAGTATGAGCTAACTTTTTTAAAAAGTCAAATGCCATGTTCTATTATGAGGCAGTACTTTCATTACAGGTTTTGTTTTTTTTTTTTGTAAGTTTAAAATTACATACCTGGTTCAAACATGTTTACAATTTACAGCTATGACCAAATTTTACATGCTTAAATTTAACTCACAACATTACGTCTTACTGGACAGGTTATAAAATAGTGTATTACATAGAACATTTAACACTATCTTTATTAGGCTTTATTATAGCAAACAATTACTATCATTATACTCCACAAAATTCAAGTGATTAAACAGCACAAACGGAATTCGTTGTACCAACAATCTGGATTCTGCTAGTTAAGAAATAAACAGGTAAACTGAATGCCATTTGTAACTTATTAGTACATCAATAAGACTTAAAGGTGAAGTTTTTTTATATTCCACATTTGGTACTTTAAGCAATGTTCGAACATTCTCAATGATCAAGACATATTAGTGCTTACTCCAGCACCCTTCAAGGAGCCAGACAGATGCCTAAAGCTTGAATAGCACAGCACCTATCACCCAATTCATGGTCACTAAGCACTTGAATTATGGCCACAGCTTTGTCACTGAAGTCTGACACAAAACCAGCATGGAACCAGGAACTGGTGGCTCATGCCTGTAATCCTAGCTACTCAGGAGGCTGAGATCTGAGGATGGAGGTTCAAAAGCCAGCCTGGGCAGAAAAGTCTGTGAGACTCATCTCCAATAAACCACTAGAACACTGAAGTGGTGCTGTGGCTCAAGTAGTAGATCACTCACTTTGAGCTGAAGAGCTGAAGGACAGGGCCCAGGCCCAGAGTTCAAGCCTCACCACCAACAACCAAAAAAAAAAAAAAACCAGCATGGATATCCTTTTTGTCCTTCTTCATGATTTCATGTTCGATTCCTTCTTATTAGGTATTTTTGTCATCTTAGCACAGCTTTCCATTTAAAGAAACTACTTCCTGGCTTCTCTCAGGAATAACCAAAATTGCCAGCACTGCTAAAACTTCCTGAGCATAAGAGGCATTATTAAATAAGGGAAACCAGCTAACAAGATGCAGCACTTGTCACGATACACTAAATTCACATTCTAAGTGGAGGAAGACAAACTACTTGGTATGCTCAGCCTACAACAACCAAAGCACAATTTAAAACTTAGGAGTTACATAATTTTCCATTTAATGGTCTCAGAATGTATTGCTCTGGAGTTCCTAAGACTAAGGAAAAAACAAGAACAGGAAGACTACTGCATGCAGTACTTTCCAATGAGATATTTTCAACATATCATTTATATGACATAACCATTAACCAATGGTAGACCTGAAGTAAAAAATCTGGAGCTCAAAACAGGCACATAGTTCACATCTGCAAACTCAGCTGCTCAGATATCAAAAGGATCCGAGTTTGAGACCAGCAAAGGCAAAGTCAAAATCACATCTCAACAAATCAGCTGAGTGTAGTGGTACATGCCTGTGATCAGGTATATGGGAAACATAGGTGGGAGGAATACAGTCAAAAGCTGGCCTCAAGCAAAAGTGCCAGCTCCTCTCTAAAAAATAAGGAGAAAATAAGGGGGCATGACCAAAGTGGTAGGTGCTTGCCTATCAACTATGAGCCTGAGTTCAAACCCTAGTGATACTCAGACTCTTCAGTAAAACAGAGCTAATTCCATCAACACAATCTACATTTCAGAAGTACTGTATAAGGATGAAGCAAGATGTTGGGTGTGAGTTATTAAATAAAAACTGCAATTGAGGGGCCACTTCAATTACATTACATAATTCATTAACAAAGCATCTTCAACAAACAAAAAACCTGTTTTTTATCATTTGAGTTATTAGTCTGAAAAACTACATTTATAGGTAAATAAAACATAAACAATGTCTAGGTCACTCAGTTTTATTTATGAAAGAGGCTAGCTAATCTGACAAATCTCAAAAATACCTGTGCCTCAGCAACGCCCCCCCCCCCACACACACACACCCTCACCCACACACACCAGTTGTGGAGCTTGGACTGTGGGCCTGGATGCTGTCCCTGAGCTCTTCAGCTCAGGCCAGCACTCTACCACTTAAGCCACAGCGCCACTTCCAGTATTCTGGAGGTTAATTGGAGGTAAATATTTGAACCGTGATCCTCAGACCTCAGCCTCCTGAGTATCTAGGAATACAGGTGTGAGCCACCGATGCCCAGCTTTTCTCAACTTTTAAGGTAGTCATTTGCTTTTAATGATGTCAGAAAAAAAACACACACACACAAAAAAATTAGAGTAAAAAAACACCATGAAGCCCCTTCTCCATGAAGTCAGAGTGAGGATGACTTACTCCTAAGACTCCTAAATAATGACAGCTTCTCTGAAACAGCTGGTATTAAACTATGAACCACTGTTTAAATGTATTTTCTCTGTGTGGGTTCTGGGGCTTTAACTCTGGGTCTGGGTGTTGTCCCTGAGCTCCTTTTGCTCAAAGGGGCTCTCCACCACTTGAGTCACAATGTTTCTTCTGGCTTTTTTGGTAGTTAACTGGAGGTAAGAGTCTCACAGACTTTCCTGCCTGAGATAGCTTCAAACAGCAATCCTCAAATCTCATTCTCCTGAGTAGCTAGGATTAAAGGCATGAGCCACTGGCACCAAGCCAAATGTATTTTCTTTAACAGCACATCAGCCAGAAGCACCATACGCAGATAGATCTGCTAATCAAACTATCTAAACTAGTTTAGTTATAGAATGTTAAATTTAGACATACAACACTAAATTTAGACATAGAATGCCTCTGTAAGGGCTAAATCTTTTTTTTTTTTGGTCAGTCGTGTGGCTTGAACTCTGGGCCAGGGCGCTGTCCCTGCGCTCTTCAGCTCAAGGCTAGCACTTGACCACTTGAGCTAACTGCCACTTCCGGGTTTCTGTTGGTTTACTGGAAATAAGAGTCTCATGGACTTTCCTGCCCGGGCTGGCTTTGAACTGTGATCTTCAGATTTCAGCCTCCTGAGTAGCTAGGATTACAGGTGTGAGCCACCAGCGCCTGGTTATAAGTATCATTTTAAATTATCTGCCACACTTAAAAGTTTGATATGTGACATAAAAACTCAGATTTCCAGCTTCTCACAGAAAACATAAAAACTCTGATATGTCTAGTAGGCTGGAACTCGATGTTCTCTGGATTTTATTGATTTTTGCTCTCCCAGTCCCTGTCCTCTTATACTTGGGTCCTTAGGGCATCTGAGTGCATATTCTAATGCACAATTATACTTATTTGCCACAATTTCTTAATACTTCAAGAGAAATTACCATCCTGTGTGTCTTTGGTTTCCTGTTGCTCCACTTCATTTTCATCCGATCCATCTCCAAACTCCTTTTCATACCGTGCTTCCATCTCCTGGAGCTCCTTCTCCAAATTCGCCATGGTCATCCAGCTCTGCTCTCGGTACTGCTCTGCCAGCCTAGACACACAGCACCATCTCATGTTCTTAGGTATTATGTCTGTGTGCTTCTTTTTTCCCTTCTAGGCTTAGAATGTGCTTCTTTTTTCTTTTTTAGGCTTAGAACTACCCCTAAGCAGCTTCTTGTTTAGTTAAAAGCTGGGGCAAAGTCATTGAAGCCTGTCACCTGGGCTGGTGGTGGGTACTGTCCTCAAAGCAATGAATTGTGAAACTAAGCAACTTATCCAAAGTCTTTGAGGAAATCATGATCTAGGTATAAAGGAATAACTTAAAGAAATGTATGCAAGAATGCTATAATATTCTGAATGGTTTTCATGCTCTTAACCACAAAACTATAAAGAAATTGAAATGAACTGAGTGTTTCACAGTACCAACCAAGAGGCAGACTGCATAGCAGATAAAAAGCAGAGCCCGGGAGTAGACTCTGGCCCCACTGCTGGTACTGCTTCACCAGCTATGTGACTGGGGCTGGCCTGCCTCCCTTCCTCACAAGACAGAGGATAAAAACAGACCAGATGTTATTCCACAGAATCATTAGAACACTTAGAATAGGGTACCTTACAGAGAGAGATTCAATTGACATTAGTTACCATTCAATTTTGTGAGAATGGTTAAAGGATCTTCAGTATAAAAAAAAACAAACAGAAAATAAATAAAAATCTGTACATAACAGGTGCAAAACACTACCAAATGCCAGGCTTTACCAAAGAAAAACATGAGGCCAAGATGACTGATCACCATATGAAAACACCATGCCAGGTGCCACTACTGCTGTTCCCTCTGACCCTGATCTGCACCGGACAAAGAAGTCAGCCATGGATCACATACTTGGCCTGCTTCAGCTTCTGCTGCCGCCTCATCTCCTCAGCCTTCCTGGCCTTCTCTGCGTTCTGCTCTTCCACCAGCTTCCGATGCGCCTGCACTCTTCTGTCTCTTTTACGAATGAAAGCTACCAGCTGGCGCACAAGCTCGTTCTTCTCTTTTCTCGCTTTGTCTCGAATCTTTTTGTTTTCTTTTTCCATGGCTCTTTTTTCCCAACGGTTTGAAGCTTGCCGTGTATCATATTCTTCCTTCCATGCAAAATTCTTTTGAGTGCAGAAACTCTGCCAATAAGCGTAGAAAGGATGGACTACCTAGTGACGGAGATAATTGGTCAAATATTGTTTTTCACTTACATCTTTTTAGAAAGGGTGCAAATGTTAATGATGCAAAACATTGCTTTTTCTCATGTAAAACTTTATTCTTAATTTTCTTATTTGGGACTAGGAATCAAACCCAGTGATTCATGCATGCTGGGCAAGCACTATGTTGCTGAGCACATTAAAGAAGAAAACAGTCGGGGCTGGGAAAGTGGCTCAGTGGTAGAGTGCTTGCCTTGCATGCATGAGGCCCTGGGTTCAATTCCTCAGCACCACATAAACAAAAAGAAAAAAGCTGGAAGTGGCGCTGTGGCTCAAGTGGTAGAGTGCTAGCCTTGAGCTGAAGAGCTCAGGGACAGCGCCCAGGCCTAGAGTTCAGGCCCCACGACCGGACCCCCCCACCCCCAAAAAAAGAAGAAAACAGTCTTACTTAACACAGAATGAGATTATGCTCCATAAACAAAAACAGAAAGAAAGGGAAAGGAGAGAGCTGTGTGTTCCTTCTCAGGAGGAGAGATCATAGGACAAGACTAGAATTCATTTCTTTTTAAAATCAGAAATGGGGGAAGGGCACCATACAAACACTAATGATAAGATACAATGTACTTTTCATTTACCGTATCATAGTCACTATGGGAGTATCCAAAAGTTGGGAAATCTTGAATATCCTCCTCTAACACAGATTCTATTTCTTCCTTTGCAATCATTTCAAAAACATTTCGGTAGACTGCATAAAAGCCCTAAAAAAATCAGAAACACATGCTCTAATACTTTTTTAGTCTAATCACAGAGTAGATAAAGATGAAAAACCTTCATAATGAAGAATTACAGGATGCAGGTCTGGTCACTGTATGTTTCTAATGTGGCAGGGTCTAATGTACAGACGGTTTAAATGACAGCAATGCATTTTCTTTTTTCAGAATGAAGGCTCTTTCACTTTCTACTAGTGAGCAATTTTAAGAGTTCACTTTGCGTATGGGTTTTTCCTACCTGCTTGATAAGAGGTCACCTATCTTACCTTTTTATCATCTCCATAACCAGAGTAACAGGTAACAGTGAAATAGTGAAGCAAATCTAAGCTGTCATCTTGATATTCTCCATCAATCCCTCCTTTAAGTAAGGCTTCTCTGTGATTATCATACCTACAAAATAAAAAGTAAAATAAAAAGGGCCCACCGGTGAAAGCTGAATAAATGTCAAAACACTAGTGGACATTTCAGTGTGTTCAATCTACAACTGAACAATTTAATGAGGAATCATTTGAAATATCAAAATTAAAACAATGTACCATCACCAATTTCTCTTTTATCATCTGCAAAACTAGACTGTTGGAATAATCATCTGTTAAGTTCCTTCCACTGACATAATACATTTTATACACGAAAGGTGACAGATGCATCAGAACACACAATAGTGTTTAATTTTTTAAAAACAATACTATGTTGACTATAAACAGGATGAGAAGCCACACAGTGCTCACCATGCTCTTTCCTGAGGATCACTCAACACGTCATACGCTGCTTGGATTAATTTAAATTGTTCAGCAGCTTCTTCAGCATTATCCAGATTTTTATCTGTTCAAGGAAAGTCATTGAAATTTAGTTACGCCCATTGTCCTTTCTACCCTTTTTTCATTAACAACTAAAACTTTTTAGCTGAAACTTTTAAACACAGAGGATATAGGAATATACTATTTGAAAATAAGGTCTACTCTCTCTCTCTCTCTGTCTGACTACCTACCTCTCTCTCCTTTTTGAAAATTTTATTTTGTTTTGTTTTTTGAGACTGACTGACTAGATAACCAAGGCTGGCCTCGAACATACTATGTAGCTGACAACTAACTTTTGACTCTTCTGCCAGAAAGACAAAGCACATACCACCATGGCTGACCAAGAGCTTTAGTTGTTTTAGTAATTTCTTTCAATGTCACTTTATTTTAAATTCACCTTTTAATGTTGCCTAACTAGTTGACTATATTGAATTGTTATCTAAAAGCATAAATGTAGTAAGTTAAGCAAGAAATTTAAAAAGCAAAAAGGAGAGTTGACATTTTGCCACATGCCAGTCACAATTATGGCAATCCTAGTTTCTGAAGTGTAACAGGCATCGTTTACTTGCACTATTCCTTGTGCTTTTCTCTCAGTTAAGTGCCTTCTGGGGAGTTTCAGGAGTTGTACCTTTTAAGCCCCAGCTTGGCTCTATGTAAATACCACTTTTGGCCTCTTGGCGCTGCTTATCACAGCACTCTCTTGGCAGGTCTGGTGGTGAAGCCAGCATGTGCCTGGTCACTGGGTCTTTTCCAGAGGGAAATAGTATGAGCTTCAGACTCAGAAAGTCATGAGGAAGAGGTGAGTAAGTATGGCTATGTTAACAGAAGCCAGTCTTAAAGGCTGTGGTAAGCTGGAGTTGGATTGGTAAATTGGTATGCTTTCTTTCTTCCTGTACCATCCTCTTCTGTTGCACGTGCCTTTGAACTACAACCTGACTCACCAGAAAATTGGCACCTGACATAGCACTTCCTCCAGTTTGGTGGCTTAAAGGTTCCTTGATCTCCTCCTGTCCACTCTTGCCACCTCCAGTGCCTTTTCTCACCACAGCCAGAAACTATCATTCGTCTGGTCCCAAGGCCCTTAGGATAAAATCCCACTCCACATTACCATAACCTTCAAGACTGGCCATTCTCACCGCTTCCTCGCCTTTTCTCCTGCCTGCTTCCACTCCCATTTTCCACTTAGGTGTCCCACCTAGACATCACTTCTTCAGAGATGCACTTCCTAGACACCCTTCTCCTTCTCTCTCATCCATATACAACTCTAGGCCAAAGTGAGGGCAAGGTCCATTAGTGCCTTGTATTTTTTCTCAAAGAGCCCAAGTAAATCTGCCAATTTCCCTCTCTCTCTCTCAAGGACAATGTACATGCCACCAGCACAGGGACTTTCTTGCCTTGGTTCACATGAGAATAGTCACTAAGTAAATTATGGAAATCCTATCTCCACTAGGAGTGCTCTCACTAGGCAGGACTGTTAATCTACCATTCCTCCATAAAGGGAATAAAGCTAATTCCTTTCTTTCTTTTTATCCTAATACCATGACAGACAGCCTTTCTAAATGATGGGCAAAATTATTCTCTGAAGCAACATTGATTTGCCCAAGAAATATCTAATGAATGTCCTGAACACAGAATGCTGTGCAGTGACAGACTTAATAAGCCAGCAAGGAAAGCATAGGAAAATCATGTCTTTTGGGAGAAATAAACAAAAGATATTTAGGATACTATATGAATAGTACAGAACTTATTTACACTTAGATCCTAGCAGGTTTGCTTCAAAGTCAGTATTTTGGTAACATATACATACTACTTCTGTGAATCAGTTTCCAATTAATTATCAAATCTGATAATTTTACCTTTGTATCATCTCTCCCAGGGGACTTTCCCCTCCTCTTGTCCCAGAGCCTGTTGTACCCTTACCTGACCACTGTGACCTCTCTCTTGACTCTAGCTCCAGCTCTCTTCAAGCCACTCAGTTACTCTCACAGTACCCTATCTTGAAATCTTTTTTTTTTTACATCAGGACTCTCCATTATTTACACACACACACACACACACACACACACACACACACACAGTCAGAGGAGGAACACAAAGATGCAATGCCTATGTGCTTCTGATCACATAAAGTATTTATCAAAATGAACTCTGGAAAACTGAAAGAAAAAAAAAGTCACAGTCCTCAGCCCGTACCATTAAGGCTTTCAGACTATGTTTTGATTTTTTAATCATTGTTAATCATGGTTTTCAAATTTACATATGCATTTGGTCACAGAATTAATCCTTAACCTTTCTTACCCAGAAACTCAATTTCTAATAGTAATTAGCTGTTACTCTACAAAAATGCTTCTACTCTATTTTTAGATTAACTCTAGTTATATTCTGATTTTCTGATATGACAAGCATCTGTCTCTTATATATCCATTTTCGGTTCCTCTGCTGACAATTACTGTTAAGTAATATAACCATACCTCTACCTAGCTCTGGTTCTAAGGATGGATACTACTCTACCTTCTTACTTCTGAGCCCATCCTTTTTCTCAATCCCTACTTTTCAGCCTTTCATATAAATAATACCTTAAGTCAAACCATCTTGAGACATTTGCCTTCACTGTGCTAGCCCTATACTGTTTGTTCACTTTTCTAGATTTCATTCCTTCAGGACCTATCCAGTCTAAGTGCCTCAGTGGATAAGATGTCTCAGTATCTCCCTGTATATGTTGGCAACTGTATTTATTCCCAGATTTCTGGAACATTTACTAGTTGTTCTATTAACCCAACTATCAACTAGGTATGTCGTGCTACTTTGTTTGCACTCATAGTTAACTCGGTGTGTGCCCGCATAAAGCATGTTTTCCCAACAAGACTTCGAACTTCCTGTTTTTACAATTCAGGATTTACACAGTAGTACACTCGTGTACTACTACGTAATAACTTGCATATACACTGACCACGTGTTTACTAATTCACGCTAGGATAAAAAGCTTATTAGAAACCTCAAAAATATTTAAGACTCTTATTAACAGCCTCAAACAACTGACTTAGGTCCCCCGTCTTGACGAAGAGATTGCTTCAGATTGTTAAGATGGAATAAAACATCTGAAAGAAGCACACTTTCAAGTAAACATACAAACTTCTCTAGGCAAGAACCCTAATTAGCCCTCGTTTGAAGATTCGTGCCTAGAGCGAAGTGGGCACAGGTCTGCTTGGCCAGACTTCCGATGCGAAAACACTGATCCCCACTTAGACGTGCCCCGGCCTGACGGGGCCACGAGCTGGGCTTCAGAGGCCGGGATCCCACGCGGAGTCCAGGGCACCGCGGAGGGCGGCGGGGCGCTGAGCCTTCGGGTCACCGCCGAGCAGGAGGGGCGGGTGGCCGGCGGGACCGGGCCTTCCCGGGCCGGGGTCCGAGAGGGAGCGGGGAGACGCGCGCGGGTCGGGGGGTGGGGGTCGCGGGCCGCGTGAGCCGGGCCGGGCCGGGCGGCGGGGACGTCCGGCCTCCCGGAGCCGCGCCGGGACGGTGAGAAGCGGGCCCGGCGTCCCCGCGAGCCCACGGCGGCGGCAGGTGGTGACCTACCCGGGTGCCATTTCAGGGCCAGCTTCCGATAGGCCTTCTTGAGCTCCTCCTCGCTGGCGTCGCGCCGCACCCCCAGCGCCTCGTAGTGACACTTCATCGCCGGGCCCGGCGAGAAACTGAGGCCGGGGCCCGGGGCGGGGTCGGGACCGAGACCCGGGCCCGGGCAGCGGCGGCGCTGCCGGTCTTCTCCCGCGGGAGCCCGGCGCCCGCACCCAGCCAGCCAGCAAGTGCCGCGGCGGCGGCGGCGGCGGCGCGGGGCAGAGGCGGCGCGCGGCGGCGGGCAACGCGGGCTGCGGCAAGCTGGCGCGCGAAGGGGGCGGCGCCGACGGCCGTAGCTCCGCATGGGCGGGGGCTGGGCTCCCGGAAGAGCCGCTCGGGTGGGAGGCGGGACCGCGCGGCGGGAGGTGGAGTCTAGGCAGGGGCGGGGTCTCGGCGAGGAGGCGTGGCCCGGCGGAGAGGCGGGGTCACGGCGGCCTGCATTGTGAGGAGCACAGAAGGGCCCAGCGTGTGTGGCTACACACGTAGGGGCTGAAGTGGAGATAGGAAGCAACCAGGAACATAACTGGTTGGGGGCTCTAATTATGTCTCAGTCACGCCCATTTATACGGACGAGGCAACTCAAGTCTCCAAATTGTCTAGAGGTTGGTTAGCCTAAGGTAGGATTTTTGACAATTCTAGCAGCTGCTACTTAGTAAAATCTCTGATGCTGCTCACCTTGACCAATATGCACGAGAAATGTCAGTGCCATGATTTCACGAACAATTTCAGCAAGCGGTATCAACACATTCTACAGCAGCATACCTAAAACTACTACAGTGTGGACAGAATTGTGCTGCTCTACTCATCTGTTACTCTTTAATTCCAACTTTCTGTACTCTAATTATCTTCATGAGATTAGGTTGAGAAAAGGATTGGGAAAATACCCATGGTTTTGATCTGACTAGCTATATTGTACTGCAAATACGCCAATTCACTTCACTGTAAGGTGGGATTTTTACATGCACCAGTTAGACATGGGTAGTATTTTTCAGCTATGTATGACTAAGGAGATTACCCAATCCTTAAAAAGTAATTTAAGGGCTGGGAAGGTGGCTCAGTGGTAGAGCGCTTGCCTTGCATGCTCGAGGCCCTGGGTTCGACTCCTCAGCACCACATAAGCAAAAAGGAAAAAGTCGGAAGTGACGCTGTGGCTCAAGTGGTAGAACGCTAGCCTTGAGCTGAAGAGCTGAGGGACAGCGCCCAGGCCCAGAGTCAGGCCCCACGACTAGAACCCCCCCCCCAAAAAAAAATTAATTTAATATCCTGCCCCAGCACAATCAAAACCAACTATATGCCTCTGTGGATTTTTCCACATACTAAGTTCCAAAGAACTTCTTTGAAATTCTTTGCCAGTGCAAAATGATTTTACAATGGTTTCAGTTGGTAAGTTGGCAATGGAGATGGAGAAGAAACCTGAGACCTTTCCCCCCCTGAGAAAAGAACTGGAAGCAGTTTTTCCTCAACCACATGGGATTTTACTTACAAATACAAACTCAATGCCTTTTCCTAAACAGAATCTGTTTGTATCTATAATACTGTATTGAAATTTAAAGACAATTACACAAGAGGTAAATGTCAGCCTAAAGGAACATCTTTTAGTTTTTCGTTTTAAGACAGGATTTTTACTGTAACTCAAGCTGGTCCCAGCCTTCCCAGTACTGGCTTGTGTTACTATGTTCAGACTAAAGAAACACCTTTATTAAACACAGACTTCCAAATAGGGGCTTCAGAGATGACTCATTCCAGAGAATTCCTACTCATAAAATATCCTTTAGTGACTGAAAAAGAAGAGACTTGGGACACAAAAAAACATCTCTAGATGGAAATTTGTTTTGTATGTCTGTGTGTGCCCATCTGGAAGCTTGAAACCAGGACCTACGTGCTTTCCCTAAGCTCTTACACTCTTATAGTGCTCTACCATTTGAGCCATAGCTCATTTCTGGCTTTTTAGTGGTTATTTGGAGTTAAGAGTCTCACAAACTTTACTGCCCTGGCTGGCTCTGAACTGCAATTCTTACATTTCAGCCTCCTGAATAGCTAGGATTACAAACGTGAGCCACCGGCACCAAGCCTCTACATGGCAACTGGTAAATTCAAAATTGTCAAACTGATGGGCTGGGAAGGTGACTCAGCGGTAGAGCGCTTGCCTTGCATGCATGAGGCCCTGGGTTCAATTCCTCAGCACCACATAAGCAGAAAAAGCCAGGATTGGCGCTGTGGCTCTAGTGGTAGAGAGCTAGCCTTGAGCTGAAGAGCTGAGGGACAGCGCCCAGTCCCAGAGTTCAGGCCCCATGACTGGCAAAAAAAATTGTCAAACTGAAAATCGTATCGAAACTCCAGAACACACTGAGTATTCTTTGTGTCATTACTTCAAAACTGAACTTTTTTTTTTTTTGGGTCCGGTCGTGGGGCCTGAGCGCTGTCCCTCAGCTCTTCAGCTCAAGGCTAGCGCTCTACCTCTTGAGCCACAACGCCACTTCCGGCTTTTTTCTCTTTGCTTATGTGGTGCTGAGGAATCGAACCCAGGGCCTCAGGCATGCAAGGCAAGCGCTCTACCACTGAGCCATCTTCCCAGCCCCTAAAACTGAACTTTTTGATCCAATTTGTTTTTAACCTACAATTAACTTCTAACATGGTGTTTAAAAACAAATCCTGTATAGGCTCAAGTTCTTCCAAGCCTGTATTCCACTACCTTTACATCCAAACATCTTTTTTTTTTTGCATTTAATTAGATTTGACCTTAATTAGGCGTACTACTTTTAGCTATACAGGTATTTCAGTTGAACCTGACAAAATTAGTTGCATAACTTTTAAGAGTACTTCAAAAGAAGTAGCATAATTAAACATACAGCTAGGTAAGGTCTAACTAAAGTCTTCCATTGACTGATACTTCTCTAAATATTTTAAAAACAATAAAATTTAAATAAACTAGGAACGATATGTTAGAATCCTATTACAGTATGAAATACCTTTTATAAAAAAATCAGAAAAACAGGATTACTGTAGCCATAAAAAGCTAATTCTGAACCAAAGCACTAAATTTATTTTTTTGCAATTACTTGTATGTCACCCATTGGCAAAATATAGGACAACCAATACTCTAATCTCTGGTAAGGTCCAATTTTGTACCTTACAAGCAATCAAAAAACCTTAATGATTAAAACTCTTAACCTGAGCTTCACTTCTAAAAAACCACAAATATTGTGAAATAAATTTATATATAGAAATACAACATAAGCACATATGTATGTTAGGCAAGAACAAAAAAAAACCTCAATTATCAAAAGTATGATACTTACTATTTAACTATGGTATGAAGTACAATGTTGTGTAGTTTAGTAAACATGCTACTGATAAAACAGGAAAATAATGTGATGTCAAAGAAGTGTCATAAGGATTCAAATGTTTTTTCTTTCTTGCGATTGTTTCTAACATATTTATAAGATGATTTCTTTGTATGCCCCCCCCGTTTTCACTGTATTTGATGTTGGTATAATTTGGGTTGGGAAGGGGAAGCGAAAAAACAAATTGTTTAAATAGGGATACAGGTGGACCCATTCCAACAATGAGATGTACAAGACATTATGTCGAAAAATGAAGTTTACAACTTTGGGGGGCGGGGGGGATTGGGAGGGATGGGAAGGAGAAACAAAGGAGGAGGCAACAATGCTTGATAAGAAATGTACTCATTACCTTGCCCATGTAATTGTAACCCCTCTGTACGGTATTTTCACACACAAAAAAAAAATCTTTCCCATGTAATTGTAACTCCTCTGTACGGTATTTTCATTAAAAAAAAAAGTTTCAGACAGGGATGCAGTGGCCTACAGGAGGCAGAGGTAGCTTGGTCCAGACAAGCCTCCACCAAAAATCGCCAGACCCTATCTAAAAATATATCTTAAGGCTGAAGTGCTAGAGTGCTTCCTTTGCAAGCTAGAAACTCTGAGTTCATAACCCAAACATTGCCATATGAAAAAGAACATATGCAGAACCTAGTTTTACTCATCTACCTGTCAGCTCTTAAGTCAATATGCTGCAGTGCTTAAAATAAGCAGCAATCTCTCTCATAAGGAAAAATTCAAATGCACTGTATTCTTTTGAACCTTCTTAACAACTATCATGTTTTTCCATTTACTATTAGTTTTTAAAAGCAATCTATGTTTATAATTTACAAAATGCTTTCAACACTGACATTAACTCATTTGATTCCCAAAAACCTAAGAATTCTAATACACTCTCTTTTGAAATGAAGAAGAGATCAGAGGTTGGCTCTTCCAAGGCATTAACTAGCTACTCCAGTAGTCAAATCTCAGAAAGATGTTTCCCTTCTACTAGTCTATACTTTTTTGGGGGGGGCAGTCTGGGGGGGGGGAGGTCCGATCATGGGGCCTGAACTCTGGGCCTGGGCACTGTCCCTCAGCTCTTCAGCTCAAGGCTAGCGCTCTACCACCTGAGCCACAGCGCCACTTCCGGCTTTTTTCTTTTTGCTTATGTGGTGCTGAGGAATCGAACCCAGGGCCTCATGCAAGCAAGGCAAGCGCTCTACCACTGAGCCACCTTCCCAGCCCTAGTCTATTCTTAAATAGATATATCTAGATATATCTATCTAGATATATACCAACAAATAACATTTTCAAAGTGTCTAGTGCCCTTGTAAAGAATAATCTAATAAATCTGAACTTCAGCTTTACTACATCAAAAATTCTAATCTAAGAGAGCATCCTAGACCTTAAGAATATTAAACTTTAGTAATTCCACATAAGCTCTAAAAAGAAAATCAGACAATAACTAATGAATTCTGGAGATATTTTATTTAGAAAAAGATAAAATCACTGAATTTAAGATTTAAAGTTTTCTTTTAAATGGCATACTAATTAGATATAAAGCAGATAATAAAAGTATTTACACACGGAATACAAATATACAATAACTGAAAAAACAAACTACTTATCCACTGATTCATTTTGCATGCCCTCTATTCATTTTCTGTTGAATTTTCCTCTGCCTTTTGTAAACCCTCTTCTTTCTTGCTTTCAAATCTACTTTGGGCTCTGGTTTTACCCACTGTATTTCTATTGGTTTTTCCTCAGCTGGTACAGTAAAAACATCTTCAGTAGGATCATGTGGAAGAACAGTCTTTGGCTCTTTCTTTTTCAGTTTCTGAACATCCTTCACTTGTTGTTTCTCTTTGTATT